TCACAGCAGATCTATGGGAACTAAACAATGGGCCAGGGTTTGGCGGACAGCTGGTGAGGTTCCCGTTCCCAGATCACCCTTTAGATCATGCATCCCCAAACAAAAGGTCCGGTTAGCTTGGACGGCCTGGGTGAGGGTTTTGGTTTTTAGATCACCCCAGATCTATGCATCCAAAATCAATGGTCCAGGGTTTGCTGGGGCGGCCTGGCTGAGGTTCTGTTTTTTGATCACTGCAGTCTAGCATCCCGATCAATTGGTTTCCCGGGTTTGCTGGGGCGGGCCCGGGTTTAGGTTCTGTTTTAATCACAGCAATCTATGCATTTTAGAATCAATGGTCCAGGTTAAACTGGGCAAACCGGGGTTTAGGTTCGGGGGTAGATCACAGCGATCTATGCATCCAAACAATGGGTCCAGGTTTGCCCGGGACGGCTTTGCCGGGGGTGCTGTTCTAGTTCCCCAGCAATCTATGCCCCAATAAATGGGCCAGGGTTTGCGGGGGCGGGCCGGTGGGGGTTCCCGTTCTAGATCACAGGGAGATCTATGCATCCAATCCAAAGGTCCAAAGGGTTTGCGGGGGAACCCCGGGGTGAGGTTCTGTTTTAGATCACTGCAGATCTATCAACCAATTTAAAAGGTACCCGGTTAGGGTGGGACGGGCCTTTTTCTGGGTTCTGGGGGTTTTGATCACAGAAAAATTATGATCCCGATCAAGGTTCCCGGGTTTGCTGGGACAGCCTGGGCTGGGTTTGTTCTTGATCCTGCAGATTTTAAAGCATCCAGATCAATGTCCAAATTTTTCGGGGGCGGCCGGCTGAGGTTCGTTCTAGATCACACAGAAACTATGATCCAGATCAATTTGGGGGGGGGGGGGGAGGGGTTTTTTTGGGGGGAAAAAACCCCAAAGGGGGGGGGGGGGGGAAGGCTTGGGTTTGGGTTTCGGTTTTAAGATCCCCCGCAGATCTATGCACCAGATTTAAGGGCCAGGTTAGCTGGGGCGGCCTTTTCTGAGGTTTTGTTCAGATCACAGCAGATCTATCAAACCGATTTAATTTGGGCCAGGTTAGCAGGGGCCCGGCCCGGCTAGGTTCTGTTCTAGATCACAGCAAAAATTTTGGCCATCCCGATCAATTGGGTCCAAGGGTTTGCATGGACAAACCTTGCTGAGGGTTTTGTTCTGAAACACACGATCTATGCATCCAGATCAATGGTCAGGTTACTGGGAGGCCTTGCTGATTTTTTTCTAGAATCACACGATCTATGCAATCCCCGGGTCAAAAAGGGCCAGGTTGCAGGGGCGGGCCGGCTTAGTTTCTGTTCTAGATCACAGAGATCTATGCACCAGGGGCAAAGGGCCAGGGTTTGCTGGGGGAAACCTTTTTCTGAGGTTCTGTTCAAAATCACAGCAGATCTATGCATTTAGATCAAAGGGCCCGGTTAGCTGGGGCGCCTGGCGAGGTTTGTTCTAGATCACAAACAGATCAGCAATTTTGATCAAAAAGGCCGGTTAGCTGGGAGTGCCCGGCTTAGGTTTTGGGGTTTAGATCCCCCCCTCCCCCCCCCCCCCCCCCCCCCAATTCAAGCATCCCGGTCAATGGGCCAGGTTAGCTGGGACGGCCTTGCTGGGGTTCTTTTTCCGATCACGGCCCGATCTAAAGCATTTAATCAATGGTCCAAAGGGTTTGCTGGGACAGCCCTGGCTGGGGGTTCTGTTTTAGTCCCCAAACAGATCTAAAGCATCCCAGATCCAAAAGGCCAAGGGGTTTGCTGGGGCAGCCCCGGGTGAGGGTTCTGTTTTTAGATCACAGCAGATCTATGCATCCAATAAGATGGTCCAGGTTTTGCCTGGGGCCCCGCCTGTGAGTTCTGTTCTTTGATCACGCAGATCTAATTTTTATCCAATCAATGGGCCAAAGGGTTTGCTGGGGCAGCCTGGTTGGGTTTTGTTCTTTGGGAAAACAGGATTAAGCATCCAGATTCAAAGGCCAGGTTAGCTGGGGCGGCCTTTTCTGATTCTGGTTTTAGTCACCCGGCAGATCTAAGCCCTTTTGAAACAATGGCCAGGGTTTGTGGGACGGCCTGGCTGGGTTTGTTCTAGATCCACGAATCAAAGCATCCAGGTCAATGGCCCGGTTACCTGGGACAGCCTGGCTGAGGTTCTGGGTTTTTGATCCCCAGCAAAATCTATGCAACCCCCGATCAAAGGGGCCCGGTTAGCTGGGGCAGCCTGGGTGAGGTTCTGTTCTAGATCCCCTGCAGATTTTAAGGGATCCAGATCAAAGTTCCCGGTTTAGCTGGGAAAAAAAAGGCCCGGCCCGAGGGTTCTTTTTTTCTAGATTTACAGCAGGGTCTTTTGCATCCAGCCAAAGTCCAGGGTTTGCTTTGGGCGGGCCTTTTCGGGGGTTTTTGTTTAGATCACAAAACGATCTATGCAAATTTTTGATCAAAGGGCCAGGTTAGCTGGGACGGGCCTGGGCTGAGGTTTTGTTCTAGATCCAAACAATCTTTGCATCCAAGGGTCAATGGTCCAGGGTTAAACTGGGACAAAACCTTGGCTAGGTTCTTTCTAGATCACAGCAGATTATGCATCCAGGGGCAATTTGGGCCAGGTTAGCTGGACGGCCCCGGCTTGGTTCGGTTTTTAGGGTTAACAGCCCGATCTATGCATCCAGGTCAATGGTCCAAAGGGTTTGCTGGGGAAACCTGGGTGAGGTTTGTTCTAGATCACACAAAATCTATGCATCCAAAAGGGCAATGGCCATTTTGCTGGGACGGGCCCGGGTGAGGGGGTTTTTTCTTTGTTTTCAGCAGATCTATTTCATCCAGATCAAGGGGTCCCGGTTTTCTGGGGAAAACCGGGCCCGAGGTTATGTTTTTAGATTTACAGCAGAAAAAATGCATCCCAACAATGGTCCAAGGGTTTTGCTTTGGGGCAGCCTGGCTGAGGGTTTTTTGTTCAGAAACACAGCAGATCTATTTCATCCAGGTAATGGTTTGGGTTTGCGGGCGGCCTTTTCTGAGGTTTTTTGTTCCCAGATCACAGCAGAAACTAAAGCCCTCCAGATCAAAAAGGGGGGGTTTAGCATGGGACAAGGGCCCGGTGAAAGGGTTTTGTTTTAATCACATCAGATCATGGGAAACCAGAACAATGGTCCAGGTTTTTGTTTGGAAAGGCCTGGGTGAGGTTTTGTTCAAGGGTCAAAAGCAGTCTATGCATCCAATCAAAGGGTTTCCCGGTTTGCTGGGGCGGGGCCCGGCGAGGTTCTGTTTTTAATCAATTGCAGACTATGCATCCAACAATTGGGCCAAAGGGTTAAACTGGGACGCCGGCTGAAAGGGTTTTGTTTTAAAATCACAGCAGGGTTCTTGCATCTAGATCAATGGTCCAAAGGGTTTGCATGGACAGGCCCCCCGGCGGGGGTTCTGTTTTTAGATCAAAACAATCTATGCATCCAGATCAATGGTCCAGGTTATGGGACGGCCCTTTGGAGGGGTGTGTTTTTAGATCACAGCAGATCTATGCCCCCGACAATGGGCCAGGTTTTAAAATGGGACGGCCTGGCTGAGGTTTTTGTTCTAGATCACACAGTTTTTTGCACCCCGATCAATGGTCCCGGTTTTAAACTGGGGCAAAACCCCGGGTGAGGGGTTTTTTTCTTGATCACTGGGAGATTTTGCATCCAGATTTAAAGTTTCCCTTTTGCTGGGACGGCCTTGCTGAAGGGGTTTTTTTTTCTAGATTTACAAACAATTTTATGCATCCCGATCAAAAGGGCCCGGGGTTTTTTGGGGCAAACCTGGGAAGGTTCTGTTCAAATCACTGGGGAGATCTAAGCAAATTTCCCGACAATGGTCCAGGGAAAATGGGACAGCCTGGGCTGAGGTTTTGTTCTATTCACGCAATCTATGCAATTTGATCAATGGGCCAGGTTTCTGGGGGCGGCCTTGGGTTAGGTTTTGTTTTTTGATCACTGCAAACTATGCCCTCCAGATTCAATTGGGCCCGGTTTTTCTGGGGCAAACCTGGCTGAGTTTTTTTTTCTAGATCAAGCAGATCTTTAACATCCAATCAATGGTCCAGGTTTTTTTTTTTCCCGGGAAAAGCCTGGGTGAGGGTTTTTGTTCCCAAATCACAGAGATCTATGGGATCCAGATCAATGGTCCCCGGTTACCCGGGATGGGCCCGGGCCTGAGGGTTTTGTTTTAAAAACACACAAATCCCAAGCATCCAGCTTCTCTAAGCTTCTGCTAACAGAGAAATAAAGGTGACTTTCAGGAGGGATCCAGGGTCCCAGCAGGATGGGAGGCTACCTGCAGGAAGCGAGTGAATGCAGTGAGGCTGCTCATTGTGGCGTTAGTAGGAGGGAGGGTCATGGTATGGGACAGGACTCACCTCCCCCAAAAGGGAGATCTGGGGCATTAGTACCGCTTTCTTTCCCCGCCAAAATGCAGTGGAAAAATGCTGTCTCTGGGTTGGGAAAGGCTGCAACCCGTTCCGGGGGTTCTTCTACAACCAAACTTTTTGACAGCATCTCCCCTTTTTTCAGGGGGTTTCTTTTTTTTTCTCCCCTGGGCCCCAGAGCGCTCTCCCCCTCAGGGAGAGAGGGAAGGGCTTTTCCCCCTGACTCCTGTATAACGGGAGACCCCCGCAAGAGGGAAAACGCCCCCCTGAAAGTCCTTTTTAAGCAGGAGACGCCCGCAAAGGGAAAAGGGCTTTTCCTTCCCTTTAAGTCCTGTATTTGCGGGAGGGCCCCCAGCAAAAGGGAAAAAAGCTTTCCCCCTGAGTCCTTATAAAGCAGGGGAAGCCCGCCGGGGAAGGACCTTCCTCCTGACGTCCTGTATAAGGGGGGGACCCCAGCAAGGAAAAGGGGTTGCCCCCCCCGCCCTGTATAAGCGGGAGAAAGCCAGCAGGGGGGGACTTTCCTCCCCGATGTCCTGTATAACGGGAAACGCCAGCAAAGGGGGGGGACTTCCCCCCTGGACTTTCCTGTATAAAACGGGAGACGCCCAGCAGAGGAAGGACTTCCTCCTGACGTCCTGTATAAGCGGGAGACGCCAGCAGAGGAAGAAGCTCCTCCTGACGTCCTGTATAAGCAGGAGACGCCAGCAGGGGAAGGACTTCCTCCTGACGTCCTGTATAAGCGGGAGACGCCAGCAGAGGAAGAAGCTCCTCCTGACGTCCTGTATAAGCAGGAGACGCCAGCAGGGGAAGGACTTCCTCCTGACGTCCTGTATAAGCGGGAGACGCCAGCAGAGGAAGGACTTCCTCCTGACGTCCTGTATAAGCGGGAGACGCCAGCAGGGGAAGGACTTCCTCCTGATGTCCTGTATAAGCGGGAGACGCCAGCAGAGGAAGGACTTCCTCCTGACGTCCTGTATAAGCAGGAGACGCCAGCAGAGGAAGGACTTCCTCCTGACGTCCTGTATAAGCAGGAGACGCCAGCAGAGGAAGGACTTCCTCCTGACGTCCTGTATAAGCGGGAGACGCCAGCAGAGGAAGGACTTCCTCCTGACGTCCTGTATAAGCGGGAGACGCCAGCAGACGTGCAGAGGAAGTGCAGTCAGAATGAGAACCTGTCCGTTCAGCAGATACAAGCCTTCTTAGAGCCACAGGTGAAGGAGGACATGGAGCCATACCTGCTGGGAGCTAAAACGCTGCTGCGCTACGCTTCCATCCTGGACATTGTTCAGCCTCACAGCAGGAGGTCCGTCTGCTTCACCAAAGGGTGGGTCTGATGGAGGCGTCCCTCACATCTACAACAGTTATTGGATCAATAGGATACGATGATCAAGCAGAGCCATGTTCATTCACACCATCATCAGTCCCTAACAATCATCCATTCATTTAATGGATTCATTTAATTCAATAATGGATTCATTTCATTGAACTAATGGATTCATTTCATTGAATTAATGGATTCATTTCGTTGAACTAATGGATTCATTTCGTTGAACTAATGGATTCATTTCATTGAACTAATGGATTCATTTCATTGAACTAATGGATTCATTTCGTTGAACTAATGGATTCATTTCGTTGAACTAATGGATTCATTTCGTTGAACTAATGGATTCATTTCGTTGAACTAATGGATTCATTTCATTGAACTAATGGATTCATTTCATTGAACTAATGGATTCATTTCGTTGAACTAATGGATTCATTTCATTGAATTAATGGATTCATTTCGTTGAACTAATGGATTCATTTCATTGAACTAATGGATTCATTTCATTGAACTAATGGATTCATTTCATTGAACTAATGGATTCATTTCATTGAACTAATGGATTCATTTCGTTGAATTAATGGATTCATTTTGTTGAACTAATGGATTCATTTCATTGAACTAATGGATTCATTTCATTGAATTAATGGATTCATTTTGTTGAACTAATGGATTCATTTCGTTGAACTAATGGATTCATTTCATTGAACTAATGGATTCATTTCATTGAACTAATGGATTCATTTCGTTGAACTAATGGATTCATTTCGTTGAACTAATGGATTCATTTCGTTGAACTAATGGATTCATTTCATTGAACTAATGGATTCATTTCATTGAACTAATGGATTCATTTCGTTGAACTAATGGATTCATTTCGTTGAATTAATGGATTCATTTTGTTGAACTAATGGATTCATTTCATTGAACTAATGGATTAATTTTGTTGAATTAATGGATTCATTTCATTGAATTAATGGATTCATTTCATTGAACTAATGAATTCATTTCATTGAACTAATGGATTCATTTCATTGAACTAATGGATTCATTTCATTGAATTAATGGATTCATTTCGTTGAACTAATGGATTCATTTCATTGAACTAATGGATTCATTTCATTGAACTAATGGATTCATTTCATTGAACTAATGGATTCATTTCGTTGAATTAATGGATTCATTTTGTTGAACTAATGGATTCATTTCATTGAACTAATGGATTAATTTTGTTGAATTAATGGATTCATTTCATCGAATTAATGGAATTAATGGATTCATTTCATCGAATTAATGGAATTAATGGATTCATTTCGTTGAACTAATTCATTTCATTGAACTAATGGATTCATTTCGTTGAACTAATGGATTCATTTCGTTGAACTAATGGATTCATTTCATTGAACTAATGGATTCATTTCGTTGAACTAATGAATTCATTTCATTGAATTAATTGATTCATTTCGTTGAACTAATGAATTCATTTCGTTGAATTAATGGATTCATTTCGTTGAACTAATGGATTCATTTCGTTGAACTAATGGATTCATTTCGTTGAACTAATGAATTCATTTCGTTGAATTAATGGATTCATTTCGTTGAACTAATGGATTCATTTCGTTGAACTAATGGATTCATTTCGTTGAACTAATGGATTCATTTCATTGAACTGATGGATTCATTTCATTGAACTAATGGATTCATTTCATTGAACTAATGGATTCATTTCGTTGAATTAATGGATTCATTTCGTTGAACTAATGAATTCATTTCGTTGAACTAATGAATTCATTTCGTTGAACTAATGGATTAATTTCGTTGAACTAATGAATTCATTTCATTGAACTAATGGATTCATTTCGTTGAACTAATGAATTCATTTCGTTGAACTAATGAATTCATTTCGTTGAACTAATGGATTCATTTCGTTGAACTAATTAATTCATTTCGTTGAATTAATGGATTCATTTCATCGAATTAATGGAATTAATGGATTCATTTCATCGAATTAATGGAATTAATGGATTCATTTCGTTGAACTAATTCATTTCATTGAACTAATGGATTCATTTCGTTGAACTAATGGATTCATTTCGTTGAACTAATGGATTCATTTCGTTGAACTAATGGATTCATTTCGTTGAACTAATGGATTCATTTCATTGAACTAATGGATTCATTTCATTGAACTAATGGATTCATTTCGTTGAACTAATGGATTCATTTCATTGAACTAATGGATTCATTTCGTTGAACTAATGGATTCATTTCGTTGAACTAATGGATTCATTTCATTGAACTAATGGATTCATTTCGTTGAACTAATGGATTCATTTCATTGAACTAATGAATTCATTTCATTGAACTAATGGATTCATTTCATTGAACTAATGGATTCATTTCATTGAACTAATGGATTCATTTCATTGAACTAATGGATTCATTTCATTGAACTAATGGATTCATTTCATTGAACTAATGGATTCATTTCGTTGAACTAATGAATTCATTTCATTGAACTAATGGATTCATTTCATTGAACTAATGGATTCATTTCGTTTAACTAATGGATTCATTTAATTGAACTAATGGATTCATTTCATTGAACTAATGGATTCATTTCGTTGAACTAATGGATTCATTTCGTTGAACTAATGGATTCATTTCATTGAATTAATGGATTCATTTCGTTGAACTAATGGATTCATTTCATTGAACTAATGGATTCATTTCATTGAACTAATGGATTCATTTCGTTTAACTAATGGATTCATTTAATTGAACTAATGGATTCATTTCATTGAACTAATGGATTCATTTCGTTGAACTAATGGATTCATTTCGTTGAACTAATGGATTCATTTCGTTGAACTAATGGATTCATTTCGTTGAACTAATGGATTCATTTCATTGAATTAATGGATTGATTTCGTTGAACTAATGGATTCATTTCATTGAACTAATGGATTCGTTTCATTGAAGTAATGGATTCATTTCGTTGAACTAATGGATTCATTTCATTGAATTAATGGATTCATTTCGTTGAACTAATGGATTCATTTCATTGAACTAATGGATTCATTTCATTGAACTAATGGATTCATTTCGTTGAACTAATGGATTCATTTCATTGAACTAATGGATTCATTTCATTGAATTAATGGATTCATTTCGTTGAACTAATGGATTCATTTCATTGAATTAATGGATTCATTTCGTTGAACTAATGGATTCATTTCCTTGAACTAATGGATTCATTTCCTTGAACTAAGGGATTCATTTCGTTGAACTAATGGATTCATTTCGTTGAACTAATGGATTCATTTCATTGAACTAATGGATTCATTTCATTGAACTAATGGATTCATTTCGTTTAACTAATGGATTCATTTAATTGAACTAATGGATTCATTTCATTGAACTAATGGATTCATTTCGTTGAACTAATGGATTCATTTCGTTGAACTAATGGATTCATTTCGTTGAATTAATGGATTCATTTCGTTGAACTAATGGATTCATTTCGTTGAACTAATGGATTCATTTCGTTGAATTAATGGATTCATTTCGTTGAACTAATGGATTCATTTCATTGAACTAATGGATTCATTTCGTTGAACTAATGGATTCATTTCGTTGAACTAATGGATTCATTTCATTGAACTAATGGATTCATTTCATTGAACTAATGGATTCATTTCGTTGAACTAATGGATTCATTTCATTGAACTAATGAATTCATTTCGTTGAACTAATGAATTCATTTCATTGAACTAATGGATTCATTTCATTGAACTAATGGATTCATTTCATTGAACTAATGGATTCATTTCATTGAACTAATTGATTCATTTCATTGAATTAATGGATTCATTTCGTTTAACTAATGGATTCATTTAATTGAACTAATGGATTCATTTCGTTGAACTAATGGATTCATTTCATTGAATTAATGGATTCATTTCGTTGAACTAATGGATTCATTTCGTTGAACTAATGGATTCATTTCATTGAATTAATGGATTCATTTCGTTGAACTAATGGATTCATTTAATTTAAATTAACGTGTTCATCAGACTGAGATGAAGAACATATGGTTTTACCTCCAGCTGGTTGTTTCTTTGATCGGTTCCAGTCTTCCTGAACTCTTAGTTATTATATCTACACTCAAACACTCTGACATGAAGCTGAAATACTGTGTAGTACTAGGTAGTACTAGTAGTAGTACTTTTGGTCAAACTGACTGACTGTGTTTTTTCTCAGTTACGGACGTTATGTGGAAGGAACTGGATCAGTGCTGCAGTGCGACTTGGAGAAGGAGGTTTGCTTCTGTTTATTTCCAGATAACGGCTCCTCCAGCTGTTACATACAGATGTTCACCTGTGTTTAAAGGATGAATGTTCAGTCAGCTGAGGTTCAATAAATGGCATAAATCCTGATTCCTTCAGTAGGTTTAAAGTGAATATTGGTGAACAGACCAGCGATGGCTTCAGCTTCTAGTGAAGAAGATCTAAACTGTCCAGATGTGCCAGTGAAAGATGTTTTCCTCCTTTGCTCTGCAGGTCAGTGATGTTTTCTCCAATGTGGACCAGCTGTCTGAGGAGGAAAAGCTGCAGAAGCTGATGGAGTTAAAACTGCGTTACTTTACTCCCAGAGAGGTGGCCAACCTCATGGGCTTCCCTCAGAGCTTCTGTAAGTCAACCCTGACCTTTCCCACCTAGAGCTGTGTTTCTAGAGCAGACTGGCTCCTGCCGGTCTGAGAGGAGCCCCATGAAGCCGCTAACACGGCTGTAAAGGAAATGACATCAGTTCATCCTGTGGAGCCGAGCCAGAGCATAGATGTTGATGAAATGTTATTCTGCAAACTGTACGTCTGCCTCCTGCAGCACAGCCAATCTGTGGAGGTCAAAGGTCAGATAAAGGCTCCATTAACGTTTCCTCCTGTTCAATGAGACGCTGAAGAATGTTTAAACCTGAACGGCTTCAAGACTTTAATATTTAACTGAAAGCAATTAGTAATTTAATTAATTCAATAGATCAATTCTAAATAGATTAGCTGCATTCCTGATAGAGGAGATTAATGTTCATGGAGGTCAAATGGCCCAGTTGACCCTGATGTGGATGTGAGGTCATATCTCCCAGTCCTACCAATGAGGTTTCAGATGGCGGCCGATAGAATCAGATATTAGATTTTGATGGGATTGATATAAATGTGAGATCAATGACGCCATCAGCTGTTCAACAGACTCCAGAATCACAACATCTGCTTGGTTTTCTAATGCTAGTTAAATACTGATAGTGAACCCACCATTGCTGTAGACTGATTCTGCAGCAATCCCTTCACACCAGGCAGACATGCAGCCACTAACTGGAGGAAAACCTTCAAGCCTGAAAATAAAACATTTGCTTTCTAAAAAGCTTGATAGGAAAGCAGATAAAGTTGCTTCAGAATCTTTCTGTTGTTTTATGACATCTGCAAAAAGTCATTGCTCTGGAGCAGCTGATAGCCTGCAGCTTCTACTTGACTAGATCTACAGCGAGGAAGCTCTACTGATGGAGACTAAACTGTCTTTATAATCAAGACCTAAAGTCATTTTTAATGGATCTATTTATACGCTGTTGTCCAGGTTTACCAGGAGATTATGAGTATAATAAATAATCTATTAATAGGTCATTCACATCAAGATAGTTATTTATGATCAGTTGAATAATTATAACTGTAACTTGCTTACTGACCAGCGTTTTAGCCTCTTTCCTAAAAGGTTGGACTCCTCAATCGGCTGTTAAAATCCAGTTGTCTTTCCCCAGTTTAGTAATTTAGGCTTTGGCTCTTAGCAGCGTTATTAATCACCAACCAAATAAATGTGTCTCAGTTCATTCAGATGCTACTGAAAGAAGAGTGAATCCAACCTGAGTGATAAATCGTTCACTGTGTATAATGAACACGAGTTAAAATGCATCGTTATTAGCTACAATCACACAGTATTATATCTAATATCTAAGCCAAACACTGAACACTACTGAAAATAAGTGGAATAAAGAAATAAAAGGGGAAGAAGGGTTTAAGAGTCCGTTCATAGTCTATTGATGTTTGAAGTTTAAGCTTAATGCATTTGAAAGTGTCCTTTATAATAGGAGTAGATAAAATGTAAATTAACCCTGACACACACACAGATGTTAACTGCAGTCAAAACAGTGAAGTTTCATTCAGTTTATGGTGGAAAATGAATAATGAGTCAGGAATGCATTAAACTATGATGGAAGACGATGAGTGGACTTTATTTTGAAAGACAGAAAAACAGGAAAAAAGGGAGAAAGAGCTGCCCGCAGAGGTGAAGAAAAAGAGCTCCTAATTTTGGCCCGGGAAGAATAGTTTTTTTTTTATTCTGCAGAAAAGATCAACACTTGAAGTTAAACAAAGGGTGAGGCCTTTTGGCAGGGGGGCCCTCCCACCCTTTATTTAAAAATTATTTCATACAAAACATTCCCCGAGGGAAAACCCCTTTTAGGTTTAAAAAAGAAAAACAAATTTTTACTAGTCACGTAAAAAACAACTGTTTTCCAGCCGTTAGGGAGTCTTAAACACCCCAGAAGGGCGGGGATCTATTTCAAACCTTTTTTCTAAAAGTAAGGAGGCACCCCCTCTTCCCCCCTCACTAATAAATCCCCAAATCCCCCACAAAAACGCCAAACATAGAGACGGGTTTAAGGTTAATTCCCAAAAAATCCAAAACCCACACCTGGATGGCAACACTGAAAAAGGGCCACCTCTGCTCCTTATGGAGCCCCGACCTTTCCCCTACTTTTTCCCGACAAAAAAAATTTCCCCTGGGTTTAGGAAACCCTTCTTTAAAGGCATTTAAAAACCCCGGGCTTGGGACAGAAAAGGCCGTTTCCCCCTCCCCCCCAGCCTGGGGTGCCCCTGGTTTAAATACCTTTTGAGGGGCAATTTAAATTTCCCCCTCTTCCCCAAACAAAAGGCCTTTCCCCCCTTTCAAGGGCCCGATCCTTTGGGTTTAGGGCCTTCTGGGGGGCATTTAAAATCCCCCCGCCATCGCAGGGAGGGAAAGGGCCCTTCCCTTTTTTGACCTGACCCCGGGTTTTTTAAAGGGGCCTTTTTGAGGCATTAAAACCCCGTTTTATCGGGAGCAAAGGGGGCCCTTCCCCTCGGGCCTGGAACCCCGGTTCAACCTTCTGAGGCATTAAAATTTCCCCCTCGGGCCCCAAACAAAGGCCGTTCCCCCCAACCAAACCTGATCCGGTTCAGGGGGCCTTCTGGGGGGGGCATTAAATCCCCCGGGCTATCGCAGCAAAAGGTTTTTACCCTTTTTCGAGCCTGACCCCGGTTTAGTTTAACCTTTTGAGCATTTAAAACCCCGTCTATCGCCGGGGGAAAAGGCCGTTCCCCTCCTAAACCTGAACCCTTTTTCAGAATTTTTTGAGGCATTAAATCCCCGTCTATCGCAGCAGAAGGCCGTTCCCTCTCAGCCTGATCCTGGTTCAGACCTTCTGAGGCATTAAATCCCCGTCTATCGCAGCAGAAGGCCGTTCCCTCTCAGCCTGATCCTGGTTCAGACCTTCTGAGGCATTAAATCCCCGTCTGTCGCAGCAGAAGGCCGTTCCCTCTCAGCCTGATCCTGGTTCAGACCTTCTGAGGCATTAAATCCCCGTCTGTCGCAGCAGAAGGCCGTTCCCTCTCAGCCTGATCCTGGTTCAGACCTTCTGAGGCATTAAATCCCCGTCTGTCGCAGCAGAAGGCCGTTCCCTCTCAGCCTGATCCTGGTTCAGACCTTCTGAGGCATTAAATCCCCGTCTATCGCAGCAGAAGGCCGTTCCCTCTCAGCCTGATCCTGGTTCAGACCTTCTGAGGCATTAAATCCCCGTCTATCGCAGCAGAAGGCCGTTCCCTCTCAGCCTGATCCTGGTTCAGACCTTCTGAGGCATTAAATCCCCGTCTATCGCAGCAGAAGGCCGTTCCCTCTCAGCCTGATCCTGGTTCAGACCTTCTGAGGCATTAAATCCCCGTCTATCGCAGCAGAAGGCCGTTCCCTCTCAGCCTGATCCTGGTTCAGACCTTCTGAGGCATTAAATCCCCGTCTATCGCAGCAGAAGGCCGTTCCCTCTCAGCCTGATCCTGGTTCAGACCTTCTGAGGCATTAAATCCCCGTCTATCGCAGCAGAAGGCCGTTCCCTCTCAGCCTGATCCTGGTTCAGACCTTCTGAGGCATTAAATCCCCGTCTATCGCAGCAGAAGGCCGTTCCCTCTCAGCCTGATCCTGGTTCAGACCTTCTGAGGCATTAAATCCCCGTCTATCGCAGCAGAAGGCCGTTCCCTCTCAGCCTGATCCTGGTTCAGACCTTCTGAGGCATTAAATCCCCGTCTATCGCAGCAGAAGGCCGTTCCCTCTCAGCCTGATCCTGGTTCAGACCTTCTGAGGCATTAAATCCCCGTCTATCGCAGCAGAAGGCCGTTCCCTCTCAGCCTGATCCTGGTTCAGACCTTCTGAGGCATTAAATCCCCGTCTATCGCAGCAGAAGGCCGTTCCCTCTCAGCCTGATCCTGGTTCAGACCTTCTGAGGCATTAAATCCCCGTCTATCGCAGCAGAAGGCCGTTCCCTCTCAGCCTGATCCTGGTTCAGACCTTCTGAGGCATTAAATCCCCGTCTATCGCAGCAGAAGGCCGTTCCCTCTCAGCCTGATCCTGGTTCAGACCTTCTGAGGCATTAAATCCCCGTCTATCGCAGCAGAAGGCCGTTCCCTCTCAGCCTGATCCTGGTTCAGACCTTCTGAGGCATTAATAGAAAAATAAAGATTTGAACCCATCTGAATAATAAACAGTTTCTAGGTCAGATCAGTGGGAATGAATCCGACTGAATCGAGTTATTTTAGTATCTTTCTCTGGGATGATTTCTGATGAATCGATACTTTATGCTGAACTTTAGCTGGATGAACATGGAGCTAAATAAATGCTAAAGTTATGATATGATCCACTTCTTGTTTTTAAAGATCTCTCTTTCTTAATGTCTCTGCAGCTTTTCCAGACGGCGTCTCCATCATCCAGCAGTACCGGGTTTTGGGAAACAGTCTGAATGTTCTGGTTGTGGCCAAACTCCTACGACAGATGCTGTCTGAATATTTTGGACGTTCTGAAGGAGAACCCTCTACGCTTCCTTAGGAAGTCCGACCTCTGGTACCGCGGTCCGATGCTCGCAATGCAGAAGATGATGGAATCAATCAAAATAGTGAGTTGGATTTCCTGGGGCATCAGAGAGGGAGAGTGCAGGAGGAGGGGGTTGTCGGTATGGACCATGGGGGGGGGGGTGGGTGCAGGATGGGGGGAAGGGTGGGGCGCGTGGGAAGTCGCAGTTGAGTCCCTAGGGGGTAGGTGTGCAGTTGGATAGAGAGCGGAGGGGGGGTATCGTACAGAGGCGTGGGTGATTCAAGAGTCTGATGTAGCGAGGGGGTGTCGGGGAGCGCTAAACTGATGGGAGAGAGGGGCGGCATTGAAGGAGACTGAACGTGGGGAGGCACTGGATAGGGACACATCTAACCTAGCTAGTCAGAGAGTGAGTATGCTCGGTCGCAATACGGAGAGTGAGCGGAGGAGGCAAAAACTATCTGTTGATCGCTCCGCTAACAGACGACGACCAAGCGTGGTCTATTTGCTGAGTTTTAATGTCTGAGAGGCGTCTGTACTTCCTGAACACTTTCTACATCATTTCATAATAAAAATCTGAGGATTAAAAACTGTTTTATGAGTTATCTTCTGTTTAGTTAGGATAAAGCTGTGAGGTGTACGATGGGAAGGCGTTTGGCCCTGTCTGCTGCATAAGGCTGTTGGTGATCCAGGGCTGCTAGAGAAGGTAGGGGGGGTGGGGATCGGAACATATATATATAATATCACACAAGAGATAATCCCTAAAGCTGAGAACGTGGACACACAAGACGAGCTCGTTTATTCCCAAACCTGCTGTGAACCTTGGTGGGAAACGCCAGTGTTGCCCCTCTATGTGAGAGGGTGTCGCTAGTTAGGAAAGCAGTGAACTGCCTGGTGATCAAGCTAGGAATATAGAAAAAGTTGATGGTTTGGGGGTGTCTGTCTGTCAATATACACACACATCTAAATCATCCGTTACGCGAGTCTTGATGTTATTGGCTCTGAATTCATCCCGTTTAACATCTGGATTGTTTGGATGCTTGAAATTCATCCGAGTTAACATCTTGATGTTTGTGCGCGCGCCCGCGGAATTCATCCTTAACATCTGGATGTTTGGCTCTGAATTTCAGTTCCAGTTAACCATCTGGTATGTTTGCTCTGAATTCATCCGTTAACATCTTGATGTTTGGCTCTGAATTCATCACGTTAACATCCTGGATGTTTGCTCTGAATTCATCCTTAACATCTGGATGTTGGATCTGATTCATCCGTTAACATCTGGATGTTTGGCTCGGAATTCATGGGTGACACTCTGGATGTTTGGCTCTGAATCATCCGTTAACATCTGGATGTTTGGCTCTGAATACATCCTTAAGCATCTGGATGTTGCTCTGAATTCAGGGTGAACATCTGGAATGTTTGGCTCTGAATTCATACCTCAAACATCTTGTATGTATGTGCTCTGAATCATTCCGTTAATCATCTGTATTTTGCTCGAATTCATCCCTTACCATCAGGATGTTTGGATCGAATTCATCGGTTAACATCCTGGATTTTTGGCTCTGAATTCATCCGTTAACATCTGTATGTTTGCATCTGAATCATGGGTTAACATCTGGGATTTTTGGCTCAGAATTCATCCGTTAAGACATCGGCATGTTTTGGCTCTTAATTCATGTTGAGGAACATCTGGATGTTTGGCTCTGAAATCAGTGGTTACACATCTGGATTTTTGGCTCTGAATTCAATTCCGTTAACATCTGGATGTTTGGCTCTGAATTCATGGTGAACAGTCTGATGTTTGGGCTCTGAAAATTCCATCCGCTAACATCTGGATGGTTTGGCTCTGAATTCATCCGTTGAACACTGGATGTTTTGGCTATGAATTCTCCGTTAACATCTGGATGTTTTGGCTCGTTTAATACATCGGTTAACACTGTGAAGTTATGGGCTCTGATTCATTGCCGCTAACATATGGATGTTTGGCTCTTAATTCATCCGTTAACATCTGATGTTTGGCTCTTATCATCCGTTAACATCTGGATGTATGGGCTCTTAATTCACTGTTAACATCTGTATGTTTTGGCCCTCTGATTCATCGGGTTAACATCTGGATTTATGGCTGCTGAATTTCTTCCGTTAACATCTGGAATGTTTTGCTCTGAATTCATCTGCTACCCATCTGATGTTTGGCTCTGAATTCACCGTTAACATCTGTGATGGTTGGCTCTGAATTCATCCGGATAACAACATGATGTTGTCCTGATGTCATCGGGCCTGTTAACATGCTGGATGTTTGGCTCTGAATTCATCCCCGTTAACATCTGGATGTTTGGCTCTGAATATCCGGTCCCTGATAACCTCTGGATGTTTGGCTCTGAATTCATCCGTTAACATCTGGATTTTTGGATCTGATTTCATCGTTAACATCTGGATGTTGGCTCTGAATACATCCGTTAACATCTGGATGTTTGGGCTCTGAAATCAGGGGTAACATCTGATGTTTGGCGCTGAATTTCATCCGTTAACATCTGGATGTTTGTCTCCTGAATCAAGTTGTGAACATCTGGATGTTTGGCTCTGAATTCATCCGTTAACATCTGGATGTTTGGCTCTGAATTCATCCGTTAACATCTGGATGTTTGGCTCTGAATTCATGGGTGAACATCTGGATGTTTGGCTCTGAATTCATCCGTTAACATCTGGATGTTTGGCTCTGAATTCATCCGTTAACATCTGGATGTTTGGCTCTGAATTCATCCGTTAACATCTGGATGTTTGGCTCTGAATTCATCCGTTAACATCTGGATGTTTGGCTCTGAATTCATCGGTTAACATCTGGATGTTTGGCTCTGAATTCATCCGCTAACATCTGGATGTTTGGCTCTGAATTCATCGGTTAACATCTGGATGTTTGGCTCTGAATTCATCGGTTAACATCTGGATGTTTGGCTCTGAATTCATCGGTTAACATCTGGATGTTTGGCTCTGAATTCATCCGCTAACATCTGGATGTTTGGCTCTGAATTCATCGGTTAACATCTGGATGTTTGGCTCTGAATTCATCCGTTAACATCTGGATGTTTGGCTCTGAATTCATCGGTTAACATCTGGATGTTTGGCTCTGAATTCATCCGTTAACATCTGGATGTTTGGCTCTGAATTCATCGGTTTAACATCTGGATGTTTGGCTCTGAATTCATGGGTTAACATGTGGATGTTTGGCTCTGAATTCAGCCGCTAACATCTGGATGTTTGGCTCTGAATTCATCCGTTAACATCTGGATGTTTGGCTCTGAATTCATCGGTTAACATCTGGATGTTTGGCTCTGAATTCATCCGTTAACATCTGGATGTTTGGCTCTGAATTCATCTGTTAACATCTGGATGTTTGGCTCTGAATTCATCGGTTAACATCTGGATGTTTGGCTCTGAATTCATGGGTTAACATGTGGATGTTTGGCTCTGAATTCAGCCGCTAACATCTGGATGTTTGGCTCTGAATTCATCCGTTAACATCTGGATGTTTGGCTCTGAATTCATCGGTTAACATCTGGATGTTTGGCTCTGAATTCATCCGTTAACATCTGGATGTTTGGCTCTGAATTCATCTGTTAACATCTGGATGTTTGGCTCTGAATTCATCGGTTAACATCTTGATGTTTGGCTCTGAATTCATCCGTTAACATCTGGATGTTTGGCTCTGAATTCATCCGTTAACATCTTGATGTTTGGCTCTGAATTCATCCGCTAACATCTGGATGTTTGGCTCTGAATTCATCTGTTAACATCTGGATGTTTGGCTCTGAATTCATCCGTTAACATCTGGATGTTTGGCTCTGAATTCATCCGTTAACATCTGGATGTTTGGCTCTGAATTCATCGGTTAACATCTGGATGTTGGGCTCTGAATTCATCCGTTAACATCTGGATGTTTGGCTCTGAATTCATCTGTTAACATCTGGATGTTTGGCTCTGAATTCATCGGTTAACATCTGGATGTTTGGCTCTGAATTCATCCGTTAACATCTGGATGTTTGGCTCTGAATTCATCCGTTAACATCTGGATGTTTGGCTCTGAATTCATCCGTTAACATCTGGATGTTTGGCTCTGAATTCATCGGTTAACATCTGGATGTTTGGCTCTGAATTCATCCGCTAACATCTGGATGTTTGGCTCTGAATTCATCCGTTAACATCTGGATGTTTGGCTCTGAATTCATCCGTTAACATCTGGATGTTTGGCTCTGAATTCATCTGTTAACATCTGGATGTTTGGCTCTGAATTCATCGGTTAACATCTGGATGTTTGGCTCTGAATTCATCGGTTAACATCTGGATGTTTTGCTCTGAATTCATCCGCTAACATCTGGATGTTTGGCTCTGAATTCATCCGTTAACATCTGGATGTTTGGCTCTGAATTCATCCGTTAACATCTGGATGTTTGGCTCTGAATTCATCTGTTAACATCTGGATGTTTGGCTCTGAATTCATCTGTTAACATCTGGATGTTTGGCTCTGAATTCATCTGTTAACATCTGGATGTTTGGCTCTGAATTCATCTGTTAACATCTGGATGTTTGGCTCTGAATTCATCGGTTAACATCTGGATGTTTGGCTCTGAATTCATGGGTTAACATCTGGATGTTTGGCTCTGAATTCATCCGCTAACATCTGGATGTTTGGCTCTGAATTCATCGGTTAACATCTGGATGTTTGGCTCTGAATTCATCCGTTAACATCTGGATGTTTGGCTCTGAATTCATCGGTTAACATCTGGATGTTTGGCTCTGAATTCATCCGTTAACATCTGGATGTTTGGCTCTGAATTCATCGGTTAACATCTGGATGTTTGGCTCTGAATTCATGGGTTAACATGTGGATGTTTGGCTCTGAATTCAGCCGCTAACATCTGGATGTTTGGCTCTGAATTCATCGGTTAACATCTGGATGTTTGGCTCTGAATTCATCCGTTAACATCTGGATGTTTGGCTCTGAATTCATCGGTTAACATCTGGATGTTTGGCTCTGAATTCATCCGTTAACATCTGGATGTTTGGCTCTGAATTCATCTGTTAACATC